AAGGGTTTTAACTTCAGGACGAATCTCTGGGTCGTTGTCAGGATCTAGAAGAGTGAAGACATCAGCTGTAGTGTCTTCTGTATGATCCAGCAGGAATTCAAGACCTGTTAACCAAGAAGAATTTATGAGGACACACTTGCAGACCTGGTGGCATGATCTGCAGGATTAATTTCAGATGGAATATAATTCCATAGTTCAGGCTTAGAGGATTTCCTCATTCTTTCTACATGGTTGCTGACATAGACATAGAAATGTTTTGTCTGATTGTATATGTACCCCAGAACAATTTTGCTATCCATTTAGAACTTGATGTCATCTATCTGAATGTCTAGCTCATGCAGTATAACATCTGCAATTTCTACGGCTAGCACAGTCTCACAAAGTTCAAGCCTGGGAATTGTGTGCTCAGGCTTAGGTGCTAACTTAGCTTTGCCAAATAGAAACCCTACATGGGTTTGATTAGAAGACTCTCTTATCTTGAGGTGGGCGACAGCGGCTATGGCCTCAGTAGATGCATCTGAGAAGAAGTGAATCTCTTTTCTCTGACTTGCAGCAAGGGAAGCTAAAATGTAGCAGTGTGGTATTTTAATTCCATCTAAGGCATGTAGAGATTGTTTCCATGATTCCCATTTTGAATGTTTGTCTGTTGGTAGTAGAGAATCCCAATCTTTAATAGTCTCTGATAGCTGTCTTAGTAAGGATTTACCTTGTATGGTGATGGGAGCCACAAATCCCAGTGGATTGTATAGGCCAGTGGTGGCGAACCTTGGCACTCCAGCTGTTTTGGAACTACCAGTCCCGTGAGGCATTGCAAGGCTCTGACACCTACAGACATAACTCCCAGAGGCAGATGCATGTTGGGATCTGTAGTTTTGGCACAGCTGGAGTGCCAAGGTTCGCCACCACTGGTATAGGTTGTTTACCACTGTCAGAAGACTATGTTTGGTAAATGGCTTGTCTGCAGAGCTGACTTGAAAGCCAAAGGTGCCTTTTAATGAGTTCCACCGTCCAGAAGCCCAGACTTCTCTGTACAGGTGACATGTCCATTCCCACATTTAAGTCTTTAAATCCTGTGGCATGATCACCAGGCTGAAAGGTTTTCATAACAGCAGCACTGTTTGGAACAATCTTATGGAGTCTGAGGTTGGCCTCAGAAAGCATACCTTGAGTTCTTTGGAGCAGGTCTATGGCTTCCTCATCTGTGGGTAAAGATTTGAGTCCGTCGTCCATGTAGAAGTCTCTCTCAATGAAGTGTTGAGTATCTACACCATACTCTTTATTTTTTTTTGCCATCAAGAGCAGTCCTTCGTAGGCCATATGTTGCAACAGCAGGTGAGGGACTGTTTCAGAAGACATGCACCTTAATGCAGTATTCAGTCACTTCATTGTTTATGTCCTTGTCACAGTGCCACAGAAACCTTAGAAAGTTTATATGGTCTTTTCGTACTATAAAACAATTTAACATTTGTTCAGTGTCAGAAGTTAGGGCAACTGGCTCTCTTCTGAACCTCATAAGTACACCTACAAGGTTGATGGTTAAGTTAGGACCAGTGAGAAGAACATCATTCAGGGATACGCCTTGATGCTTGGCACTGGAGTCAAATGCTACCCTGATTTGTTTTGGTTTATGTGGATTATACACCCTGAAGAAAGGCAGATACCAGCACTCATGTTCTTGAGGATTTGAAGCTGGCTCTGCTTGATCATTGTCAATGATCCTATTAATAAATGCAATTAAATGGTCCTTCATTTCAGGTCTGTACTTTAGTGTTTGCTGAAGTAAATTGAATCTTGATAAAACCTGTTCACAATTGTTTGGGAGTCTGACTCCTGCAGCATGAAGAGGTAATGGTGTAACCCAGCTGTTAGATTTCTCTTTGAAGAATTAATTATTGTGATGAAATTTGTTGTCATCACATGTAGTAAAAAAACACTGTGCTGCCTAATTGGTTATCACAGAGGATGGGAGCAACATTAGGTACCTGGATGATGTGAAGAGGCTTCCCCTTTACTTCATAATGGTGAGTGCACTGTTTAAAGTGAGATGTGAGACTTCTGGTTCCGGCGCCCAATGTGCTAGCTGTGTCCCGTTCAGCTCCGTCCCGCCGATCGGATCGATATTTCCCACACCTGCAGCATACAGGCTCTGAACGCCCGACAGACTCTCCATTCACCCCCGCAGGGTATGGAGAAATTTCTGGCCAGATCGCAGCCGACGAGACACGCTATTCTCCCCTCTTCAGCCTGGAGTCAGTGACAGTGTCCCTTCCAAGATGGCAGATCCGGGAGACGTGCAGCCCATGTCCCTCACTGAATCTGCCGGTAATTCACCTCCTATGCCTCAATCGATACCCATTGATTATCAGGCTCTAGCCTCCTCTATGGCATCTTACCTCAGAAATGACATTACTTCTACCATCACTGAGGTAATACAACAACAACTAAGGGCTATTAATGCAGCCATTGACTCACAGGGCAAACATATGCAGGCTACTGAGGGCAGACTCAGTGAGGTAGAGGACCAGATACATTCCATGAGAATCACTCATAGACATGATTCAGAATCTGTACAGCTACTCATGGATAAGATTGATGATCTGGAGAATAGGTTCCGCCGCAAGAATCTGCGCATTGTGGGCCTCCCAGAATCAGTAACGCCAAAGGACCTTGCTCATTTCTGCTCAGTAGTGATACCGCATGCTCTGGGTCCTCCTCGCCGCCTGTAAGGTGGAACCGACAGACCACCAAAGGATCACCAAAAACCCAGACCAGCAATTGTGCGCTATTTGGATTTTGCTGACCGCAGCCAAATTTTACAGGCTTATCACACTCAAAGACATCTCATGGGCGGGGGCCACAAACTCCTGCTCTTTGCCAATTATTCAGTGTCGCTGTCAAAACAGCGGAGGCTGTTCTCTGAACCTGCCGCCTCCTTGTGGACAAACGCATAAGGTTCACCCTGGCATATCCTGCTGTGCTCCGCATCACATCACCTGATGGTCAAGTGGAATCTTTCACCTCAGCCGGGGAAGCTAAAAAATTCACGCAGGCTCTCTGTGAAAGATCCTCATCATCTCCAATCAAGACCCTCCACATAAGAAAAAAGCCTGAATTGAATCGGAAAACTGCTTCACTCAAAATAGACCAAGGGTCAGTTTTAATATGAAGTCACCCTAAAGCTGCGGGGTGGAATGCTGAAAATTTTATCTACACGTCGTACAGTTGATTACAAGTTGTCACCCAGGTGACGTTATTTTACGGTATTAATCCATTGCTCAGCATTTACAGTTGTTGGAGTACTATGACACTGGTTTTGATTTTTTGTTTTTTCTCCTGGTGGATTGCATCTTTGCTTAGGCAGAGTAATGCCCACCATTCCTTGACACATCGTTGGGGAAAAAAGGAAGTCGCTCAAAAATGTTGCAGGCTTCACTTCAGTATTGGACATCCAGGACCTGGAATGGCGGGAGCACTGGGACGCTCGCTTATTTCCACTATCTATTTTCACTAGTGCAAGATCCATTTCATCTAATTCATATCATTCTCTCATGGGATCCCCCTTGAAGATAGTGACATGGAATGTTAAAGGTCTCAGGTCACCACAAAAACGGTCAAGGATTCTTCGCCACCTTAAAAAATTTGGAGCAGATATTGCTCTTCTTCAGGAACCCCATCTGCACTCAGATGACTTCTTTCAGATGAAGCGATTATGGGTTGGCACAGTGCTAGGAGCCCCCGCGAAAGGTCGTTCCGCTGGAGTCCTTACCCTGATACATAAATCCTTACCACACACGGTATCTCACCACATAGCTGACCTGCAGGAGGGTCGGTGGTCTCGAATCACATTAGATGTGGGGAACAGTTCACTGGACATATGGAATGTATATGCTCCCAATTCTGACAATCAGCCCTTTTGCACTCACTTACTGGAATCCATCACCAGGAACCTCTCGAATCATCGAGCCCTGATTGCAGTAGACTTTAACGCAGTCCCCTCACCCGGGGAGGACCGGATGGTAGAATCCAACACCACCCAACGAGGAGTCAGTGCCCAAGACAAGCATCTAGATACCTTTTTACAGGCGAGTGGTTTAATAGATGCATGGAGATTCCTACACCCCTTGGAAAGAGATTTTACTTTTTTTTCAACGGCACATAATGTCCTCTCCTACATTGATCTCTGTCTGATATCCCCTTCTTTGTTGAACAACGTCCAAGCCGTCACGATTGAAGCCATGCTTATATCGGACCACTCTCCTGTATCCATCCCCATCCGCAACCTTGATGTACCATCCAGGCCCATTACCTGGAGATTTCCTGCCTATCTTCTACAAGATGACTCGTTCAAAGATGACCTCAAATCTTGGTGGCATGAATATTACGATCATAACTCTGTACATATAGACTTGCCCATACTCAACTCTGACATCACCCTACCGGAACTCCAGGCTATAATTAAACAAGCCCCCTTGTACAAGGCGCCAGGGCCTGACGGTCTGTCCTCTGAATTCTTCAAGATACTCTTGGAGGAGGTATCTCCGCACCTTCTTACACTGTATAATCATATACTGCACTGTGACCAATATCCCACGACTTTTCATGATGCATATATACGTTTGATCCCTAAGAAAGATAAAGATCCATTGTTGCCGGGATCCTATCGCCCGATCTCTTTACTAAACCAAGATGCAAAGTTTTTGTCTAAGATTATGGGTTTATCTTTAATTTAATTTATCTATTAACAGGTTGTCTTGCATATTACCTAAACTCATTTCTCCCAACCAGGCGGGGTTTGTGTCGGGCCGCTCGGCCACGTTAAATATCCGTAAGACACTGCTGGCTTTGGAGCAAATACGTTTGCATGGTCATCAGCCTTCTCCGTCTCCAGCAGTGCTGCTGGCGTTGGATGCGGCAATGGCTTTTCATGGTTCTTCATCGGGTGGGTATTTCGGGGCAGTTCCTACAATTTATCACCAATATTTACTCATCTCCCAGACCACAAATTTACACCTCTACTCACCTTTCGTCACCCTTCTCCCTCCATAAAGGTACTCGACAGGGTTGCCCTCTCTCTCCGCTGCTGTTTAATCTAGCTATTGAACCACTCTCCTTATCCTTCTCCTCCCCCCCAATTGTACACAGGTCTACACATTGGAGCCACAGACGTCAAATCTATGTTATTTGCAGATTACATTTTACTTATTCTGTCAGACCCCAAACAACAGATTCCGAGATTGATTCACCACGTCCAACAATATGGCACGTTTTCTGGCCTTAGAATAAATTTTGACAACAGTGAACTATTGTTCTTCTCCAAGACAGCGGTGGCTGAGGCGGTGTCCTGGGCCCATATACATAAACTACAAATTAGAAACCACTCTCTGACATATCTAGGAATTCATATTCCACGTACTCTCACCGATCTGTACAATCTTAACTACTCACCCATTAAAGTTTGATGTATGTCCATTTCTTAACACATGAATTTTGAAGGAGTTGATCTCAGATGGCGTACACATATTCCATCCAAGCATACATCGCCCACTATCACCAAGCCTACATCATGTCTTTGTGCATAAGGGGCATCATAAGGTCCATTGCACTGCTGGTGTACTTTATGTACTCTGAGAATGTCCCTTCCCAGCAAGACTAAGGGGTCTATTCACTAAGCTGCAGTAGGCAGCCGAGTGAATAAACGACCCGAAGTGAAGTGAGCCGAACGCTGTTCGGCTATTCACTTCAGGCTTGTACGGCTGATTCTAGCCGTATATCGGCTGACATTAGCCGTACATCGGCTTGCTTCGTGCGGCTTCGGGTCGGCCGAACATGCTCAGCATGTTCGGCCGACCCGAAGTGCAGAAGGAGTTCGACTCAGCCGATCCAACATCTGGATCGGCTAAGACGAACCTCCGGCAGGCTACTCGCTGCTGTTCGGCCTATTCTCATAGATGCCGAACAGCAGTAAGTGAATAGCCGAATGCCGCCGGCTATTCTGCTCGGTACCTCTGTGGTACACAGAGAACAAAGGCAATATAGTGGGAGATAAAATCCAAGAGTTACAATCCTTGACCCCAAATATGCAGCTGGAAATGGAGGGAAAGGGGGGACACGAAGCTGAGCCAACTTTGAAAGATATCATGCAGGCTGTAAGACAGTGCAATTCATCAGTTATAAGTCCTACTGAGGAAATGCATGTCATTCGTTCAGATATCTTACTAACGAGACAATATCTGCAGAATGTTCGGGAGCGTACAACAGACTTAGAAAAACATGTAAGTGACGTGGAAGATGATTTCTTCCCCTTGAAAACATTTATGGAAAAAGTTATGGCACGTGCAGATCCATACGCTCTGAGAGCAGAGGACTTTGAGAATCATATGCGTCGTAATAACCTGCAGTTAGTGGGATTTTCAGAAAAAGTTGAGAATAGTAGCTCAGTGGACTTTGTGGAAAAATGGCTGCTGCGAAAACCTTTCTAATCAATTTGCGCTGGAAAAGTTGCCCCCTGGTAGTGACCCTCGCCCCCTGCTAATACACTTGCTAAATTATAGGGACAAAGAGACTACTTCACCGAATGAGAACTATGCAAGATGTTACCTTTAATGGGAACAGGGTTATGATTTGTTCAGATTTTTCACCAGAAGTGCAAAAACGTAAGGCGTGTGTCACACTTCCCTGTGTGAGGATCCGGCGCCGGGTTTTACCTCCTGTCTGAGCTGCTTGGCTTCCTGCCAATCCACTCTGAACCTCTCCATTAAAAGTCCAGCTCACTTGCTCCGTGCCGTTCGAGCAACGTGTCTTTTCACCCAGTCGGACTTCCTGTTTATTTCTTGCCTCTGTAATCCCTGCGGTTGCCCACCACCTACCTTGTCTCCTGTGAGTCTGGATTCCCTCTTCCTCACAGCAAGATCCTGTACGTCCTGCATTGGATTGATCATCAGCTTCTTCAAGTGAGTCCTTGCACCTGTGCCTACTTGTGTGGCTGTGTATATGCTTCAACCCTGTCTGCTGTTGCATCCAGCACCTCGGTGCTGCAACTAATCTTTATGTCTGTGTGGGCATGCTAGAGGGCCGCAACCTGGAAGGTGTCCAGCAGCCAATCATCCTCACCATTAGAGGCTCTGTCGAACACCTGGCCCTTCTTAGAACCTGCGCCTCTAGTGCGTCCCTGATACGGCACAGACACCATTTTTTGCACGCTACTTTTTGTCGTTTTGTGTGCCCCGGTCACAGACCGTGACAGCGTGCTTTCAAGAGGTTAAGAAAATATTGCAAACTCTCCACCTTCAGTATGCTATGATATACACAGCAAAGTTGAGAGTACAAGTCGAGGATACTGTACAATTTTTCGATACTCCAGGAGCAGCAATTGCTTGATCGATGTCATAGCAGATGAAAGCAGAGAGGGATCAGCTGGGATAGGGGGGGGAGGGGAGCTGGTTGGCGGTAAAATTAAAATTCCTGTGATGTTGGATTGAATGATATGAAGAAGCTGGTAAAAGAACCCTCATGTTTTTCCCTGAGGGGACTGTGTACTCACCAGAGGGAGGATTATTATGTTGTTCTTTTGTTTTTTTTGGGTGTTGTATATTATCTGGCAGTCAGAGAAACAGATGGCCTCCTTGCCAATGTAGGATTGATGCATGTGTGTCTATTGAGCATTGGAAAATATGTTCCAGATTAGATAAATGGGGACAAATATAAGAATTATTTCCTGGAATGTTCAGGTACTAGGGGACCTTGTCAAAAGACAGGCAGTTTTTGATAATGCCCTATTAGAACATCCAGTGGTGGTATGTCTGCAGGAGATGCACCTAACTGTGGACAAAGTACAGACAGTTAATAGACGTTGGGCTCCGACCTCGTATCACCCAGTATACTCCTCGTATGCACGAGGGGTGTCTGTGTTTGTCCACAGGGGGGATGAGTTTATAAGTATTAAGTCCGAAATTGATGACGAGGGCAGATACGTCTGTCTGCATTGTGAGATATCACGATTAGAATGTGTAATTGCTAGTATCTACATTCCTCCCCCCTACTCATCGGTGGTACTTCAAAAACTGGCAAGTTTTATATCAGGAGAAAATATGGTTCAAATATTGGTAATGGGAGACTTTAACAATGTAATTAGCTGGCAATTAGACAGACATACGTCACCTGCAGGTACTACAAAGAACTTAGAGACTCCCTTTGCCAGACTATGAGGGGAATTAGGTCTTAATGACTTATGGAGAAGTTTACATCCTTCAGAGTTACAGTATACTTGTTATTCCAGTGTGCATAACTCCTTATCCCGCATAGATCTTGCACTCAGAACAGCGGATTTGCTACCCTTGGTTACAGGGGTGGAAATTCTCCGGAGGGGAATCTCAGATCACTCCCCTGTGCTAGTGAATGTCAGTGTAGGAAATCATTGTGGAAGTAGTATATGGCGCCTTAACCTGTCATGGCTGTCAATTTTGACATCTCCTGAACAGGTTAGGGGAGGCTGTAGAGTTTTTTCTTCTTTTTAATAAACACGGCTCCCCAGGAGATAGTATGGGACAATATGAAGGCTCAGAATAAAATATATTTTAGGAAGAGGGAGGCCTGGTCGATTGTTGGCTCATATTGCTAACTCCCAAATGTCTAGTTTGTATATATGGGCTATTTATGATGGCGTAGGCCAAAAGTGTTCGGAGACGCAAGATATATTAACTGCGTTTAGGGGAGTTTTTTTCAGGCCCTATATATAACTAGAATTTAATAATCCCACGCGGAATTGCAAAATTACTTGACAAAAGTGGAGCTGCCTGTAATTTCAGAGGAGTATAAACTGTCTCTGGATGGCCCACTTAGATTAGAAGAACTTGAGGAAGCATTAGCTTCACTCCCTAAGGGGAAAGCAGCTGGGCCAGATGGACTCACGGTCCACTACAGGGAAGTTACCAGAACGTCTGGAGACACAGTGCATTTGGAACTGGACATCTCCCACTATTAATGTATGAGGCAACTATAATATTAATACCAAAAAAAGATAAAGGTCCTTTACAAATGGAATCATACCGGCCAATTTCACTTTTAACCTCCATGGCGGTATGATTTTCCCAATATTTTTTGCTTTTTTGTGTCTATTTTTTTCTGTTTTTTTAATTTATTTGTTAAATTACCCGCTGGTTCCGCCCCCCACGACGCGGCCGTTCGCAAGGGACGGAACCCGGAAGACAGATGCCGGCATCGGCTAGAGAACACACCGCGGCTCGAAGGGAGAAGATAAGTGAAACGCTGTGTATTCCTCGGGGTTACTGCTTTTGGTACTGAAAATCAATCCCCGAGCCACACTCTAAGAAGGTTAACAGTACACTGTAAAAAAATCACGTTGTTTTTACAGAAAAAATCTGGCAGCCTTGGTTGCCAGAACAATTCTGTAAAAAATACATTAAAACTGTAAACAACTTTACAGTTTTAAACTGTGCAATGTACCATTTAAAAATAATTTTTTAGCCTGTAAATCTAACATCTTTTTTCTGTTTTCCAAACTAAAATGGCACTTGTGGTTGCCAAAAAAATTCTGTTAAAAATACAACTTTTCAGTTCACAACCGTTTTAAAATGCACATTTTTACAGTTTAAAATTGTTGCAATTTACCAAAAATTACATTTTAAACTGGTAAATCTATAAGCCCTTTTCTGTAGAATTATCAATACCATGCAGCTACTAGCCTGTTCACTGCAGGATGACACACTGAGGGTTCTTTAACGTGTGTTGAGAATGTAATGAAAGAGCAATGCTGATTGATGCGCCTATAGTGTTTACAAGGCATTCAGCAAGCATTTTTAAGGCAGTAAGGAGGCGTCAAATACACTTGCAAAATGCCCTGCAAGTAGGTGAGTGTATTAAAGGGTAAAGCGATGTAAGTAAAGCAGTGGCCACACTTCTATTTTTTTTGTGTAACGCTTCTTAAATGCCCGGAAAATGCTCTAGGAGCATTGATCGAGCATTTGAGGGGCGTTTCAGTATACTTCAACAGAGGCATTTGTTCAGCGGCAATGCCTCCAGAATGCAATATTCACTTTATTTTTTGGCTCACAGCAACGCAACACAGTTAATGACCATGTGTGAACAGCACTGGGTGGTTGCAATTGCTTTATCCAACATGTTTGTTAATAGGCAGCAGAGAGTAGTTAAAAATGCTTCTCTAATGCCTGGTCTTAACACATGTGTGAAAGAGGCCAGGGAAAGATGGACTGCAAAAACTTTGTGGGTGTATTTTAGCAGAACCAAGAGGATTAAAGTAGACTTAAATTCTACCCTTTTTTGCATTTATCTAAAAAAAAAAAGTTACCAAAATGGTAAAAACCTATCTGTGTCTCCCCCGCTCGCTCCCAGCTGTAGATCTGAAGCTTCTCGAGCGGCAGAGCAGGCGCATGCGCATTAAAGATCATCGGCGGAGAGAACAGGAGAGGCAGTGGAGGTGGATGCATGTAGTCGTGTAACCAATAAAAAATGAATCAGAAGCGCCAAACGTTGACCAACAAATGAAGGATAGTTGCGGGTGAGGATTACTAGGGGTGCTGCCCCACTTCAGCCTGGGAAGCTGCAATACTGTGGGAGAGAACAAAAGAGAAGGGCGCCCACCCTAGTGTAGATTCTTTTTAATATTGTATATTAAGGTAACAATAAAAACCTACTCACAAAAGTGAATCAAGACAGAAGTGTATAAGGTAAGCCAGAATGACATCTGCAACAAGCTGCACATAAGATTGTGTGACAGCACAGGACTCCTTACGATGACGCGTTTCCGGGGCCACGCCCCCTTCACCAGATCTGGTCCTCTTCCTCACTCTCACAGTCATATATAGGAATGTGTGATGTTGTAAAGCCAATGCAAACTGTTAACCGATAGTTTTAGTTAGCTCTGTCCCTAGGACTTTGTAGTCAAAGGGATTATTTGTCCAGATGAAGTGTTCCTCCCAGTATCCCATGAAGAGATTAGCATAACTAGGGGCAAATCTTGCCCCCATAGCTGTACCTTTAAGCTGTATATAGAACTTGTCTAGGAATGAAAAATAATTGTGAGTAAGAACAAATTCTATAGCTTGTGAAATGAAATTCGCCTGACTGTGAGAGTGAGGAAGAGGACCAGATCTGACGAAGGGGGCGTGGCCCCGGAAACGCGTCATCGTAAGGAGTCCTGTGCTGTCACACAATCTTATGTGCAGCTTGTTGCAGATGTCATTCTGGCTTACCTTATACACTTCTGTCTTGATTCACTTTTGTGAGTATGTTTTTATTGTTACCTCAATATACAATATTAAAAAGAATCTACACTAGGGTGTAGCCGTGTGTTTGCATGTCGGACAGACACCGTGTGACTGGAGGAGTCTGCGCTGGATCAGAGACCGGCACCAGCGCTGGAAGGATTGCTGAATACAAGTGGAAGGAAGAAGATGATCGAATCAAGAGGCATCATTTAATGTTAGTCCTTAAAGCAGCATGGGAGGAGGAGGAATATCTTCAAGCACACACATTAAGGTGGATAAGAGCTGAATCTTCGGAAACCAACTCAAAAACGTTTCCCATTGCAACATTTCTTCAGGAAACAAACTGAAAAACGTTTCCACTCAAAATAACTTGTTCTGACACTGTCCCTCCAGTGCTGTCTCTTGAAGTGTTGCAAACACATATTAACTCAGAAAAAAACGTAAGAACCATCCTGAATTCTTGAAGAAAAAATAAAAAAAGGTAGCAGTCCTTAAAGTACAGTTGATCCAAGGTGTGCATATTAGACGTAGAAGGTTGGGTCAGGTACCGTAACCAACATCCCTTCCTTATTCATGATGGGGTCTGATCTGTAAAAAAATGACAAAATGCAACACATGGCTTTGGGTGCTTGTGTGACTTTTCTCACTCTCCAAACAGAATCCAGCTCCTCTTCACCTGCTGGACGCAGGGCTGGATTAAGAGCATCATGGACCAGGTTCTGAGGATTTTGGTGGGCCCTTTTATGGAAATGTTGGTGGTTACTGGGGCCCTCTTCCTCCTGTCTGGGCTGTGATTTGTAGTCTTTCTTCAGCAGGGGTCTCAAACTCAATTCACTCGGGGGCCACTGGACACATTTTCTTCTCCCATGGGGGCCGCTTGTAAAATGTCATACTTCAAGATAAAATTTAACTATATACAGTACTAGTGTTAATGTCTGTTTGTGTTTTTATAATGTCAGTGTATGTGTTTGTGATGTTTTTTGTAAGCAATGTCAGTATGCTTTCTGTGATGGTGTTAGGATCCAGAGCGCCTCCAGGTGGCGCTGGAGCTGAGCCCTGCAGTTCCTGGGCTCACCTGCAGGATTCTCCAGGCAGCCAGGGGCTGCTAGGTGCCAGACCACCACTGGGTGGTGCTGGTACCTGCAGCTCCAGTGCTCACCTGTGGGTGGCTCCCAGCTGTCAGGAATCAGCCCATTAGGTAATACTCCTGGGAGAGTATTTAAACCCTCCCTGCAGTCTGGACCTTGGCTCAGGATTTCGTTGCTTTCCCCTGTTGTCTGAGTCCTCTGGCCTGAACCCTGAGACCCTGATATTTGCATGCTATTTTAGTACCCTGTTTCCTGTGTTACCCGGTTTCCTGTGTTGTTACATTTTTGGTTTATGCCTGTTGTGGATTGTTTTAGTTAGCTTGTTAGGTTTATTAAAATATTTATATATACCATACTTACCTGGTCCGTGTGGTCACATGTGTTTGGTCTGCCTGTAAGGGTATGTGTGCAGGTGTGGGGTCACCTGCGCTGGGATCCCCTGACAGAATCCTGAGCCCACAAAACGACCAAAACGACCACACGGGGACCTGCTGGCTTTCGGAGACATTCCGGTGTCAAAATGGATCTCGAGAGCATGCGTTATTATGTGCATTTAGCATCTGAGGCACCTCAGCGCTGCCGACAGATATTCCAGGGTTCCCCCAGAGCAGACCTATTGGAGTGTGTCCGCAGGGCTCATTGTTTCATGGATATAACTGGTTGTCCTTTTGGGGATATCCAACCCCTAATCCAGATTTGTACCAAACTTGCACTGAGAGGTGATGAGGGTGATGACTTCTCCCCTCTGTATACCCTATCACAGGTTGTGTCACTAGTGTGGTTATTAGAGGATGATCCTGCCGGGTTTTTTGAAAATTACTCTTGAGTTTTCAGAAGAGGCCTTGTTAAAATGTGTTGAGGCGGTTCAGTCCCTTATTGATCAGGGGGTCTGTGTGGGAACCTTTGTCCAACCCCTGCTCGACCCTGTTCCATCCGATCCAGCTCCTGTTCCTGTTGAGGATGATCCGTCTGATCCTGCTCCTGTTCCGGACGATGCCGATCCTGCTCCTGTTCCGGTCGATGCAGATCCTGTTCCAGTCGATGCCGATCCTGCTCCTGTTCCGGTCGATGCCGATCCTACCTGGTCTCTTACGATCCTGTGCCTGCTGCCGATCCCGTACCCGCTGCCCAGCTCCTCGCCTGTGCCGATCCGGTGCCCGAGTTCCAGCTCATTGCCTGTGCCGGTCCGGTGCCCCAGTTCCAGCTCATCATTTCCGATCCTGTGCCTGTTTCCCGACTCCTTGCCTCTGCTGATCCGGTGCCCTGGCGGCATGTTCCATCGAACTTTGTGGGACTGTCGTCCACTGCCTTCTCGGGTCATGGTGCCGAGGTAGTGCCCCTTGCAGCCAATGGGCCTGGGGAGTGGGGCATCTGCTTTAGGCGTAGTGTTCATGTATTTGTGTATTGTCAGGATTTCTTTGCGTGATGTCGGTGTTAATGTGTTGATATTTCTGTGTGTCATATCAGTATGTGTATATGTGTGGGTCATATAAGTGTGTATACTGTATGTGTGTGTCATATCAGTATGAATACATGTGTGTTTATCCTGCACATTTAAATTTCAATCATAGAGGACCAACAGAGTCACACATTCTCTCACACACACACTAATACCCCCGCTTCTCACACACACATACACACACAATAATACCCCTCCCCACACACACAATAATACCCCCCCTACACACACACACACACAATAATACCCCCCCTACACACACACACACACACACAGAGACAC